GTCTGATATTAGCATAACGGAATAAATATCATCAGCATCACTGTAAGCAGCTGAATTGTAATGTAAAAGATAAACGTGACAATGACTGTAATGTGTTTATACTCCTACAGAGAGGTGGACTTGCAGAGGATTCATCCTACAAGGCAAATGTTACCAATTCTTTACAAGACCCCTTTATGCTGATGCTGCTGAGGTATGAATGCCATTTTCACTAGCTATGATTATAACAAAGAAGCATCTCTTGAAGCGTATAGTGTCTATTTAAATGATTCTGGCAGGACATTCAAGTATCATATAAGCCCAAATATTTGGGACAAAATAACAAGGTTATAGTGCCAGGCTTCTCTGTTTCACAACAACAATAGCATTTGTAAAATTATAGGTCAGTCACTGTGATATGAGTAGTGAATCATTTCTGGTATAACATCATAATGGAACCCCTCAGCCAATCAGATTTGAGATCCAGAAAGAAAGATATTATACAAAACCAAATTCTCTTTAGTTTTCTCATAATAACAACTATTTTTCTCTTTAGTTACAATGTCAACAGAATTGTCCAAATGGCCACTTGGCCTCTGTGACAAGCAGCTTAATTCGTGATGAAATAGGGAAGCTCATGAGACGGTATGGAGGCCTGACTTGAAATGTTTCACATTGTCACATGATTTTCTTCCTTTCTCTTCCATATCTGCCCCACTAGTAAGTCTCTTTCCTGTTTTTGACAGACTAATGTTTTTACATGGCTGGATGGATCGCCATGGAGCTTTAATGGCTGGAGTGTTGGTGAGCCCAATAATGTTAATGGACAGGAAAACTGTGTTGAGATACTGAGTAAGTGTTCCTGCTGAACAACATTGCACAAAATAGGGCTGGGCGATTGATCCAAAAGTAATCGAAATCGACATTCAGAACTTATATTCAAACAAATTTTTTTTAAGGTCTTTTTTTTTTATACTTTCCCTATCGTGTGTGGAGTCTTGTTACCTCGCTCTGTTCAGGCTAATTTCATTCAATCAATCATTTTGTTTTCGGCTTAGTCCCTTTATTAATCCAGGGTCGCCACAGCGAAATGAACCGCCAACGTATCGAGCACGTTTTTAAGCAGCCCTTCCAGCTGCAACCCATTTCTGGGAAACATCCACACACACTCATTCACACTCATACACTACGGACAATTAAGCCTACCTAATTCAGCTGTACCGCATGTCTTTGGACTGTGGGGGAAACCAGAGCACCCAAGGGAAACCCAATGCAAACTCTACACAGAAATGCCAACTGACCCAGTCAAGGCTCAAACCAGCGATTTTCTTGCTGGCGACAGCACTACCAACTGCACCACTGCGTCGTCTAAGGCTAATTTATACTTATTATATTATTCTGATATTATACATCTGCCAAGAACCCACAGCCTTTGCATACTCGCACCCCTCTCAAAAAAATTTAACTACACATCACATGGACGTGTAGTGGACACTTTGTGATTGGTCGGTTTAGTAGCAGTGACGAGGGTGGGTGGCTCAGAGAGACGTGTTTTAGGCAATGTGTGTTTAATTTGAGTTGTTCTGCATTGATGTTCAATAAAGAATCATAAATAGTGTGTTTACTTCAATTATTTTAAAATCAAGAATTGCATCCTACATTTAAAAATCTTGCGCTAGTAATATGTGAGCATATTTACTGTACAAAACCTGTCAGTGAACTATGAGAGACCAAAAATTAAATAAATAAATAAAATAATCATTCATTAAATGTAATTGAGTTAAAATGTTCAATTAATAGGCAAAATCGCCCAGCCCTAGCACAAAATCAGTCAACTAGCACATCGTTAACATGCTAGATGTGCCACACTAGTGGTTTAATGTTTTAGCATATTGTTAGCATGTTTTTAATTAAGGTTAGAATAATGCTAGCATGGCTTAGCATGCCATTTCTAACATGATTAACCACACTGCATGAAGCATGTTTAGAGATATATCACACTGCCAGCATTAATTAACATTGCTAACATTTTAACACAATAAGAACATTTCATGCATGACTTAACCTGTTAACATTTTAGTACACTGCAGGTATATTTGTAGCATGATCTAGCATGATCTACAACACTTATAGCACGTATGCCAACCTAAAAAAGTCGCACATTTTAGACGGTTAAATGTTATAATTTATAACTTATGCTGTTTATGTAGTTTATAACTTACTATCTGTTCTCCTGTTCTCAGTAAATCAAACTTTGTCTGTTTTTCAGGTAATCTGGGATTTAATGATGTACCGTGCTCAATATCCAAACCAATCATCTGTTCCTGTCCAGTTTAGATACAGCCTCAGATGTAATCATGCCATCAACATTTTGTACGCATTAAAAGATTGCCCGTCAACAAACTTGTAAACCAGCATGCTCAGAAGATGATCCAAATAAGAAAATCAAGCCAATGTGTTTTGTAAATATTGATAATATTGTAAATGGGCAATATCCACATGACTAAGATGGGGAAAACTGGCTATCTTTCTACTTGATTTCTCAGAACCTAGAGACCTGTCACCTGTCATTGACCAAACCATTTAGTTATATTAGCAAAAGGTTTTCACCTCTCCTGACCACTAAAGATGGCACTGTAGTAAAACTGTGCAGGAAAGCAAAGGTCATGCTTATAAATATGCAAAAGTGTTGCAGACATAGCCTCACATAAACTTTTGCAAGCTTGTCATCAAACTTGTGCATGTATTTTTCAGAAATATTAATTTATCCAAAAACTTTATAAGAGATTAAAAACTTAGTTACTATACACAAAACTACAACCAAATTCAGTTATAACCTTACGCCCTGCTGTAGGGGGGCTAATCTGACTTCAACTGTGCACGCACACTCACACACACACACACACACACACAACTGATTAATTTTGGTAAATATTGCATTTTTTAAAGTTATTTGTTTACATACTAAATCCTGTTCATAACTTTTACTTCATGTACATTCAAAAAGCTGTAAAATGATTCAAATTGAATTTAAAAAAATTATGTTTACCATACAAATGTTTTTCATTGTATTGTCTTACTACATCTATGATTGTAATTTGAATTTCAGTTGTTAACTAATTTAGCTGTTAACCAAGATGTCCCTCAATGTTAAATCCTCACAGATCCTTTCATCAAAGCAACACAGAAGGTAGAGGAGAGCGCTGGTTATTCACTCCCTCCACCTGTAATCACTACTGATGCCAAGTATCTAACCTGTGACTTCTGGATCACAAATTCAACTGTAACCATTAGAACACAGCTGCGCCACACACTAACAGCTCAAAATGAAGTATTCTAGATCTATATTCTGGAAACAATAAGGAAATGTAACAGTGAGCAATATAAAATAAAATAGCAGTAGCTATTGTAAGCTCAGACACGTGACAAGACTAAAGCCATAAACAGTCATAAATATCCTTTATAAGCAGCACAGATTTGTTCTCATAGCACAGAAAGGAACACACTACAGACCTACAAGATCAGCACTGGTGAGAATAACTTACTGTATATATTTATGTAGATATTTTCTTTCTTTCCTTTAGTAGTGATTTTGTTTCTGCAATACCTTCTCATCATTCCCTTAAATGTAACTGGTGTAATTGTTTGATTAAGTAATGTTAATAACATCTTACAGTAAATGGAACTATGTCATTTTAGTTTCTTTTCATTTGATTTTTTTTGTGGAGGATTTTGTGTTGGTGCACTTTTATCATGAAAGGTAACATTTTCAAAACATTTTGTACAAAACTTCAAATTAATCACATTTGCAACACTGCTAGTCCATCTTTAAGAATTGCAAAATAAAGTCGCTTTAAAATGCTTTCATTTTTTTATTGACTTTTTTCAGTGCTAACAATCATTTTTGAATCAGAAAATCATAAGAACATTTATTTGAATCTCTAAAACCCAACACTATGGTAACGGAGAGGAAGGAAGATGACAGCAAGGAAGTTACTGTGAATGAAATTTGTATAAATTCAACACTATATTCTTTTTCTACTTTGTGTTGGGAAAAGAATACTTTGTGGTTTTGTACTAACAAAAAAAAAATGAATAAAAAAGTGATGCAGTTTTGAAAACGTACAAAATTGCATCAAAATAAAATGTTTACCTGTCATTTCAATAGTTTGCCTTCATTCGTACCCTCTCTTTAATTCTCATATTATAAATTGTTATAATAAAAAGACTACAGTATCCGAGTTATGTTGGCTTTATTACTAAATCATCTCTTTGCAGAAGGAACTCTGGATATTTTTTTCAAGATGAGGAAAATACTCTCGCTGGTTATCATCTTATCAGGTAGTATCTATGCTTTAGTTACACGTGCAGTTAACATTTACTGTGAGTTTAATATTTAACAGCTTGCCCTATATTTACTGTATCGTTTTGGAGCTTTCTGTAACCTATATGACATGCATTTTGTTTTGTTTTGGAATTGGCTCATTCATTTAAAATATAGCTATTTTTATAGTGGATTAGAGTCTAATAATGCAAAGACTTTATCTTTTAGCTGTAACAAACCCCCAAATAAGGACGCCCTTCTCAAACTGTAAAAAAAAGACTTTTTTTTTTAAAGACTTGTTTCTGCTATCATTTACTCACCCTTTACTTGTCACAAACCTGTTTAAGTTTTTCTGTTGAACACAAATGATATTATTTAAAAAGAAATGTTGGAAACCTGTAACTTTTTTTCTATGGAAGTCAATGGTTACCAATTTTTATCATTCTTTAAAATATCTTCCTTTATACTCAGTATGAAAGAAACTCAGGTTTGGAACCACTTGAGGGTAAGTAAATAGTGAGTAAATGTTCCTTGTGGGGTGAACTATTCTCTCAAGAATGATTGTAAAATATAATTAGTATACATATTTAGTAAATATTTCATTTCTGTTGTCAACTTATTATTTTAATATCTATAATTATAATTATTCATTGACTTACACATTTCTACAGTTACTCATTTGAATTTAATTACAATGATGTACGATTATAGTAATATAGGTCATAGAAATAATGAAAATAAAATATCAAATTGATTCATTGCTAGATAATTTATTTACAAATTTCTTTCTATAGCAACAGTACATCTCACAGAAGCAGAAGAAGCTCCTCTGAAGCAGGATGAAGGTTTGCTGGAGCCTGATTCAGTCTTGCTGGAGCCTGAAACAACAGAGGAGCACAAACACACAGAAGAGGCATCAGTGCTGTTGGAAGAACCAGAGCTAAATGCAGATTATCTGACTGAAGAAGCACCAGAGACAGAACTACAGGCAGAAACACTGCTGAACACTAACCTCGAACCTGTGGAGGAGCCTGTGAATGAACTTGTGGAGGAGCCCGTGGAGGAGCCTGTGGAGGAACCTGTGGAGGAACTGGTAGAGGAGCCTGTGGAGGAGCTTGTGGAGGAGCTTGTGGATGAACCTGTGGAGGAGCCTGTAGTGGAGCCTGTGGAGGAATCTGTGGAGAAGCCTGTGGTGGAGCCTGTGGTGGAGCCTGTGGAGGAACCTGTGGAATTCCAGTCTGAGGAGCCCACACTTCAAGCAGACTATATAGTGGTTGAAGAATCAGAAGTAGACATGAATCCTGGCAGAAAACAGCGAATGGCGTTACAAAAAGGTAAAACGCGCATTAGATGATAATAGTTTTAGGACTGTATAGGTTTAAAAGTATTGTTTGCCAAAAGTGTCAAATTCAGTCATCATTTACTCATATTTTGAAGAATGTTGCAAACGCCATTGACTTTAATAGTAATATTTTTCCGACTTTGAAAAGCCACTGCTATGAATACTGGTTTAAAGCATTCTTCAAAATATGAGTAAATGTTGATAATGTTACGTTTTTGAGTGAACTATACATTTAGGTTCACTTTAAACAGTTGCCGATAAAAAGTGTGTGATGATAATTGCAATGTGCTGAAATGTCCTCAGGTAGGCGCCGTTGTAGAGGATTCACCGTGCAGCACACATGTTACGAGTTCTTCACAAGAAAGCTCAATGCCAGTGATGCTGAGGTATAAATGTCATTTTCATTTGTTAAAAAAACATTACATTTTCATTTTTTTTCTTGTTTTTTTATACAGTTTAAGTCAGAATTGTTAGCCACCCTTTGAATATTTCTTTATTTTTCTAAATATTTCCCAAACTATGTTTAACAGAGCAAGAACATTTTCACAGTACGTCTGATAATATTTTTTTCTTCTCGAGAAAGTCTTTTTTGTTTCATTTTTGCTGAAATAAAAGCAGTTTTTAATTTTTTAAAACCCATTTTAAGATCAATATTATTAGCCCTCTCAAGCTATATATTTTTCTTGATAGTCTACAGAACAAACCATCATTATACAATAACTTGCCTAATTCCCCTAACCTGCCTAGTTAACCTAATTAACCTAGTTAAGCCTTTAAATGTCACTTTAAGCTATATAGAAGTGTCTTGAAAAATATCTAGTCAAATATTATTTACTGTCATCATGGCAAAGATAAAATAAATCAGTTATTAAAAATGAGTTAATAAAACTATAGAAATGTGTTGAAAAAATCTTCTCTCCGTTGAACAGAAATGGGGGAAAAACAGGGGGGCTAATAATTCAGGGGGGCTTATAATTCTGACTTCAACTGTATACAATTATTATTATTATTATTATTATTATTATTATTATTATTATTATTATTATTATTATTATTATTATTATTATTCTTTATATATCTATATAATTTATATTGTTAGGATAGTTTACAGTTTAACCCAAAGAATGACCGGTCTGGTAGATGAAGAAGAGCCGGAGTCAGAGATTTAAATAAATAAATCAAGTTTACTGAAGATAGTTTGCAGTTTCATTCGCAGAAGCCAGCTTCAACACTCGCAATGAGTTCCTAGGCCGCTCTGCTTACAATCACCAATCAATAACAATTATACTCTCACATAACGTCATTAACTGCGTCATACATAAAGGTGTTCTAACCTGATTGGTTAAAACACAGATAGACTAGGAACATTTCCACGTGAGGTTCGTGCGTACAATTCTGAACAATATCTAAACATAAACGTCAGACACCCTTTAGACTGACTAGAGCTGACTCCAGACCTGTGAAACGGATCAACAATCAAATAGAACACACACACTTTACGTATAATCTGTTTCTTATCCAAGGCTGAGTGTACCGTCAGCCGTCTTTATCAAAACTGGTTAAAAACTGGTATAATTTACATTCAGGCAGTTATATTCTTACTACACAAAGTCTATCTTGAATAAAAAGTAGAATCACTTTAAAAGATTCAACCGTAAAACTATAGCAAAATCACTTTAGACATTTTAGACAGTATTAACTCATAGTAATAACAATAGAAACAGTTGTTTCCAGTCCTCAGTTCCACTCAAGATCTCCATGACCTCTGACCTAGTTTGCTGGCTCCTGAAAATAGGTATAAAGAGACAGGCAAATGCACTGAACATTCTTATATTAAGCAATGTGTTAACTTATTCATTAATTAAAATCAATTCACAGTTAAATACTAAGAAACAGGATGATGAAAAGGATAAATGTTGGTCCATGATGAGATGGACTGGAAAGCAGAAATCCGAATCCTTCAATATAATTATTTTCAAACCCAAAACCAGCTAGCTTTTAATTTGGATTGCCTGTAAGTAGATATACAGTGTGTACTACAGTGTGTACTGCTGATTTTAAAGTGAATAAGCTGCTCCCAAATCACTGGTTTTCAACATTTGTGCTGAGTAACTGAATGACACATTTAGTTCATTTTTAAAAGATTTAAAGTAACTTTCCTCAACACTGCATTTAACTATTTGTTATGAAATTCATTAATAGTTATTCCTTTCACTTTATAACGTCTGTTTCACCTTAGTTACAATGCCAAAAAGGCTGTCCTAATGGTCACCTGGCTTCCGTGACAAGCAGCTTTATTCGTGCTGAAATCTATAATCTAATGGACCGGTACAGCAGCCGCTCTGACACATGGCTTGGAGGAAGGAGAATCATTGGTGTACGTTCATTTGTTTATGTTTTATAATAGTTTATTATTTCTCCTTTATATATGTCCAACTATTAAGTCACTTTCCTGCTTTGACAGACAAATACTTTTACATGGTTGGATGGAGAGCCGTGGACCTACAATGGCTTTTTTTCTGGAGAACCAAATAATCTGGGTGGAAATGAGGATTGCATTGAGATACTATGTAAGTGTCACAGATAATCCAAGAGTATAATCTATACCTTAGGCCCATGCAGAAATCTATAGATATCCATAGATTTACTATTTATTTACTAATATAAATGTGTGTGTAAACATAAATGTATCAAATTTTTATATTTATTTCAGTAATGTTATTGACTTACACGCTAATTTTCTATGATTTATTTACAAAACAGCTTTTATAGGTATTACTTTTTGTCTTTTAGTAGATAAAATATATAAGAGACTTGCTTTGTATACCAAACAAGTGGGTATTAATCAGGGGCGTCCAAACTCGGTCCTGCAGATTTTAGCTCAAACTTGCCTCAACACACCTGCAAGGATGTTTCTAAAAAGCCCATAAGAGCTTGATTAGCCAGTCCAGGTGTCTGATTAAGGGCCCTATCATACACCCGGCGCAATGTGGAGCAAGGCGCGGCGCAATAGTCTTTTGCTAGTTTCAGCTTGGCGCAAGAGTCGTTTTGAGGCGTTGCGCTATACGCTGTTTAAATAGCAAATGCATTAGCGCTCATATGTGCGCCCATAGGCGTTCTGGTCTAAAAAGTAAGGCGTTCTGAGGCGCACTGCTGGCGCGTCGCTATTTTGAGAAACTATAATAGATTTTTCATTAGACCAAAACAAACCCGGTCTAAACTCCGGCGCAGAGTTGCGCCTCATTTACACACTGTTTAATACGCACAAGAGAGCAATAGGCAAATATCTTTACATATGAAAAAATTTAAATATTAAGGATATATATATAGGATATAATAAGAATAGATATAGGATATAAATATAAAGGATTAAAATATTACAAAACATATTATTTTCTAGCTTACATAAATATGAAAAATCACTGCTTTTATGTCTTCTTCATCTCGGGAGGCTTTTTCAGTTCATTCATAACAATTTGCTTTTTTATAATGTTATTATTATTAGCAGTATTATTTATTATATCCATATTTATATTTGTTTTTTAAAAACAAGCTTAGATTTGCCCACCTGTCAGGTTGTAGACCATATGGGGCACAGCATGTGTTTTAGGATATAACTCAGGTTTTTGAGCACACTTCGTTATTATTGTTCATTTATTAGTTTGTTGGAAATTAGAACTGAATTTAGAAATAGTTTTGAAACTTATATTTGCGCTTAACAAACGAAATTATTTATTTATAGGCTAATTGGTGTCTGTGCGTAAAGGTTTTCCTATCCAAGAGCGAAAGTGAAAGTAGTTCCATTATCTCTCATTCTCACGCAGTAGATGCTCTGTTTAACAGTTTTCTGTTTAAAAACTGTTAACTGTTAACTGTTTGCTAGTGAAATGCTCAGTTTTATGGCGCGAAGCAACTGGCTCTTAAAGGGAATGGGAGATGAGACTCTTATTGATTTATTCTCAAAACACACCTATAACTCATTAAGAAAATAAACTCAACCCTTTTAGACCATGCGCCACGGCGCAAAGCGGATTTTACCGTCCTTAAATTAGCAAAAATGCGTTTTGACACACCCTGAAAGCGTTTGCGCCCTGCGTTTTGCGCTCTGCGCATGGACCGTCAAAATAGAGCCCTTAGTATGGAGTCTATGGCCATATGTGCTTGCAAAATAAAATACATTTTTGCAAACAAAAAATAAAGTATTGAGCAAAAAAATATATAATAATAAATGCAAATCCACAAAAATCGAAAACAAAAATACTTTTTTTGAGACATAAAAATTAATTTTGCTATCAAAAATAAAGAACTGCAAAGGGAAAGGCAATAAAATGACATTTGCAAACAAAAAAGAACAGAAATAATGGAATTAAAATCAAGCAGTTTCTATTTGCTAAACTATTTGCAATAAAAAAATAAACTATGTGTATTTGCAAAACAAGGGGGTGGAGTCAAAGGAACTTGGGTTTTTACCGCAGGCACCGACCTACTGGGCTGTAAAACCACCTCTGTGATGCTGTGTCTCCAGGTAATTACGACGTTTAAGGCAGGTCCGTGCCTGCCATAATTGCTCAAGTTCCCTTGACTCCGCCCTCTTGTCAAATCAGGATCACAAAGTGAAGCGCGCAAAAACGTGAAGTGCAAATTGAAAACAGCATTGCAAACTCACAGTTGACTAAAAAGCTAATTAAAATGAGCGTTGCAATTGACTGGATGAGTTTTGTAGCAATGCTATAAAAATGTTTTGCAAGTATATATCTTTGTTTTGTTTTTTTTTGCAAATATTTTATTTTAAAAATTTTTGCACTGCTTGATTTTTTATTTGCAGTTCTTTATTTTTGTTAGCAAAATTCATTTTTATTTCTCAAAAATTTACATTTATTTATTTATTTATGCTAAATAGGCCTACTTTTTGTTTGCAAAACTTTCTTTTATTTTGTAAAAATATATGACCCTAGATTGACTCCATATTATGATTAAGGTTGTAATTAAACTTTGCAAAACACCGGCCTTCCAGGACCAAGTTTTAGCACCCTTAGTATAATTTGATCTGCTTTCTAAGCCTCAAGTAAATTTTAAAAAGTTATTCTGTTTTATTTAATGGTTTAGGTTACCCAAATTATTCCACATACATTGCACATTTTTACAAAAAGCAGTGCAGAAGTAACAAAAAATTCAGCAAATTTTGCCTGACCTTTTCTTATCAACAAGTTTTTTTAATAAACCTAACAAAATGTGATTTCTTTTGCTAGATCGAGTGGGGTTCAATGACGTAGCGTGCTTTCTAACAAGACCGTTCGTCTGTTCCTGTCCAGTTTAGACAGCAAGAAGATTCACCTATCAAAGTGTTTCTCAACCACATTCCTATGAGACCACCAGCTCTGCACATTTCCGTGTCTCCTTAACCAAACACACCTGATTCAGATCATCAACTCATTAGCAAAGACCTAAACACCTGTAATGGGTGTGACCGACAAAAGAGACATCAAAAACATGTAGTGTTGGTAGTCCTCAAGAAACGTGGTTGAGAAACACTGACCTAACCCACTACACAGATACTTTTGTAAAGTGCAAAGTGTAACCATGGGTGAAATGCATTGAATGTATTAAAATTAATATTTTATAATACTTCATAAGTTATTAAAACTGATTTTATTAAATTTGCCATGGTTTACATTAAAAACAATAATGAAAACATACATTTTATGAACAACAACTGATACATTAATCAGGTTAATACAGCATTGTATTGTTTTAAGTGTTTTTCTACTTAATAAAACCATCCTGTACATCCCTTCTCGTCTGTTGAAATAAAGCTGTAGAATGGCATTAACTAAAATTGACTTTTATTGCCATACACGTCTTGTATTTTATTACTGTGTGTAAGGTTGTAATTTTCATGCCAGTAGTTGACTCATTTAGCTGTTAACTGAAAGGTCACTGGATGTTAAATCCTCACAGAGCTTTTCACTAAAGCTTCACAGAGGCTTTAGCAGGCGCTGGTACGCTAATAGCTCTCATCACTGTGAGCCTACAATGAAGGCCGTTTTTCCATCCCATCATATGGCCAGGAATGCCGGGATTCCCATGTTTCAATGCATCACCTATGGGCTAAAGAGAGAGTCACTTGGTCTGACAGATGCATTTGTTGTGAAGCCAGTGTTGAATCCTGGGAGAGGCATAATGTTAAACTGTAGCGCAGAAGGTATTAGCGCTAAAGTGTGTCGTTTCTGTGCCACCAGCATCACTTTTAAATTGAAAGAATATATATTACTTATCAAAACTAACATTACAACTAGTGTATGTCAGAGTTCTGTTTCATATCGGGGTTTGTATGTAAAAGTCGATCTTTATAGATATTGCTATGATTTGTGGAAACTGACATCAAGTAGTTGTACTAAATTGCACAACTCAAAAAAGATTGATTTGTTCATCCAGAAGATCTGAAAATAGTTTTCTCTGTGAATATTACAACCTCACACAGAAGGGCCTCATGGTGGTCTCTTTCCCATCTAGAGGACTTACCTTTAACATTAACATTTTAATAAGATATAGATGATTAATGACTGCATTTATACCTCAATTAATTCAATGAATGCTATATGCAAACATATGTTATTTGTTATTTTTATTTTGCAAAATAAAGTGGGTAAAAAACGTACTGAAAGCATCACCAATTTTCTCTGGAGACATGTTTCTAAAGGTGCTGTTGACGTAAAAATTTGACCAGATATCTGTAACAATCAATGTGATCCACACATACAAAGACAACTAATCTAAATAATTTAGAAATTAAGTTTGTGTAGTAAAATTTAATGACAGGGACAAAAGCATTAAACACATAAAAAAGCGAGGTGTAAAAAGGCAGCGAAAGCCCAGACAGCAGCTGAAATCTCTCAGTAGTTAGAAAGCAGCCCTGCCCCTCGTCAGTATGAAGATTAGGTGCCTCAGTCTCAAAGCAGGGAGGACATTTCAGCAAAGCAATGATCCCAAACATATTCAAGGAAACCAATGTCACATGTATTGCTCAGGTGTGAGGGTTTTTTTTTTCGTACTTCAACAGAGAATAAAAATCTTGACCAATTTGTTGGTCTCAACTATGACCAGCTTTAATAGACAGAAAGAAGATTCACCCAAACAACAGATAACTTTATATGTTTGGATTGTCAATTTCATGTCAACAGCAGTATTAGAGATATACTTACTAGAAAAAAAATCATCACATGCTCAATACTTATTTTACCTGCTGCATTTAAATCAATGGAATGATGAAAAAAATGACCATTCATTCAACCTTAATTTAAAATATATTTTTATTCAATAGCTGTTGACCTTCATAGTAGGAAAAAATATTTTGGAAGTCAATGGCTTGATCCACTGTTTGGTTACAACATTAATCAAATTATCTTCTTTTGTATTCAACAAATGAAAAAAGCTCATAGCTTTGAACAAGTGGAGTGGTGAGTAAATGATTAAATCATTTTTATTTTAGGTGAACTAAATTTAACTAGAGACAGAAGCAAAAGCCCTAATTAGAAACAGAATTATTAAATTCTCAGATGTTTAAATGTTTCTCAGAAATTGAATTATAGGCTTTTCTCACTGAGCTCAACCCAGAGATATCATAATTGTAAACACTGCTTTTAACACCAGGCAAAGGAACGCTTGACACTTGCAATTAATTAGTGGAATTAACTTTATTTTTAACCAGAGCTGTGACACTTTGCTCCTGAGCTTTTGTGTTGTTAACTCTGAATTATGTTGCCAAAGATATTCAGTGTGAAACGATGGTGAATTAGACCCTAAAATGAACATTTAATGACAATATACTCACCCTTAAAGTGATATCTCACTCAAAATTAAAAATGTACTTGTTATGCATGTTATGGTCAGTTCTAAAGAAGATATTTTGAATAATGTTGAAAAAGCATAACCATTAACTGCCATGGAACGGAAAACAAATACAATCTAACTCAACGCTTTAAAGTTTCCAACCTTTTTCCAAATAACTTCTTTTGTGTTCAACAGAATTTCAAACAGGTTTGTGACTTTAGCTTTATAAGTAGAGCTCAGATTGTGAAAGCTATAACCACAGATTTACTACAAGTGCCATCTTTTAAACTAAGCATAGTGTGGTTAAATCATGTTGAATTTGGGGTTACAGTGGTTTAAATATATTAGTGATTTGGGGATCGTAAGCATTCCCAGCCATGGGTCACAACAGCCTAAAATGCACGCTTTCTTCTTTTATTTATTTATTTTTATTTACAGTTCAGTCGATATGAAGTAAACTAAAATCCGCTAGAGCTGCAAAATGAATGAATGCAACTCAATGTAATTAATGTGATCAATTATAAATGTTATTTCCCTACTAAACAAAGCATAATCTCACAGATATGTCTTAATTTTATTTCTCAGCTGAAAACAAAACAAAACAAAATAATCTAGGCTATCACAGACATCTACATAAAAATGATCATTTTACAACATTGCGACCCATTAAAACCAGCACATTTTAATTCTATTTTGGGACTTTTTGGGGCCCAACAGTACAAAACTGCACCCCTTATACTTTTATAAAATTTTTATTTATTTAGATGTTTTTGTATCTCATAACATGTCTTTTCTATCTTCTATCTTAATACAATCTCTACTTTTAAATGATTAGTTAAATTCTTAAAATAAATTTACAACTAAAAATATATATAAATTTGACTGCTGGACTGCTCTATGATTGGGGGACAAATGTGTCCAGATGTAATAATTATAATATTTTATTTTATGACATTACATAACATTAAATTATAATAATAATAATAATAATAATAATAATAATAATAATAATAATAATAATATACTTTAATTTATATTAAAAAATATTTAATTACGTAAAAAATTTATTTGACTCTAACCATACAAAATATTATAGAAAGCAATGTTATATACAGTTTATAAGTATAATTTATACTAGATATTTATTGGGGGCCGGCAGATTTCCAGGGGCCCTAAGCAGCTGCTTACCTTGCTTATTGGTGAAATCTGCCCCTGTATGTAGTAAAACTATGGTTAATTTTAATATTGTATGAAAAGCCCAAATAATACACCATACACCAGATTTAAAAAAAATGTGCATCAATACAGACACAATAAGCTTGCATTATTTGTTGCTGAAAGAAACAATCTTTTCTTTTTTTCTTTTTTTTGCTAAAAGGACATGGGAGCTGAAAATCTTTCGAACCAAACATTTTCCAAATTGGTTTATATCAATATTTTTTATCAGAACAACTAAAGATTAGCATCCTCTCTTTCATTTGTTCGACACACACTTTTGGATACGAGGTTAAAACCTACACTGGCACACACACCACATTGTTCTCCATAGCTGAGTCATTTTTCTATTTTACCTCTACAGCTGTGTTTTTGCTACCGGGTGTCAGCGAAGGATTTGCAGTGACTAAACCCAAATCACTCCAGCCATTTTAGTCTCAAATTAATACTTGTCTTCTCACTGGCCTCCGGTTTACAAGTAGATTCAAACAGATTGTCCTATTTAACCCCTAATTTCTCTATTGCACAAATGATTAGAATCACCAATACAGTTTTTTAGTTTTTGCTTAAGGCGTTAACACTGTCAAACTAATGTTGATGCCACTTTATACCCAAGATCCCCCTCAAAAGCATCTCTTGGTGTATTACTTTAGCATGCCAGGCATCATGTCTCGGGTTATTTCTGATGTCTGATTCCATCCCAGCTATTAAAACTGACAGTTGGGTCATGCTACTCTTGGAGATGGTAAAACATTCATCTGCATTAACCATCTGTGCTTGTACAGGTTATTGGATCCCAGCTTCAGCTTCCAAGACCCCACAGGCTGCAGTATATCTGCCACATCGAGGCTGTGGGTAAATAGATATCCATTCATGGGCACGGTAGATATTTAAAAGGAACTGAGTCCAGTAAAGCCAATATGTACATGAATATAAATACCAACAGGCATCTTCTCCAGTCAGTTTTCCACAAACTCCAAAACACAGAAACCAGTGAGAGGGATCAGTAATCCCAGAGGACAGGATTGTACTGGAATTAAGTGGCTTTGACGATGCATGCAACTCGCTCTCTCATAACAAACTGCACATTTAGCTCAGTGTCTGCATGGGAGGAGCAGAAAGATGCTACTGCTTTATAAAAGTCAGTTTGGCCTGAGGATGTCAGCTGTCACACTCCAGCTCTTGTTTTGTGTGTGTGTGTGTGTTTGTGAAAGTGTTTTCATTTTTGCTGCTGTTTGTTCCTAAAACTAGTGCAAAATTAATTCTGCATGGATTTTTGCATGCCACTTTGAGTAAGTATTGGATGCATGCATGTGAGATTTGGGAATATATGGAGCAAACCTTTGGCTTGAAGTATAATGATTGTTATAATAATGAATTATAATATATATATATAGTATAATAGTATAATGAATTATAATTGATTGAATTTATAGAGAATTAAAGATGTGATTCAATATGATAGCTGTGCTGAGCGTGGTGAAGATCATTTGGACTTATAATGGAGGCTGGAGGAGGAACGGGTCTAAATGTGCAGAAAAAAGGACTTGTGAAGCAGCCAGAACCCATCAAACCATCACCAAACAACACAGAAGAAGGTAAATAAAGTAGAGATCCTCTCAGCAAGCATTTTGTCTTTTTAAAAGATGTCTAATAGACGTCTAAACATAGTTGTCTTGGCTAAAACGAGGTTAAATTTGGGCTGAAAATCTTATAGACGTCTAAGAATAGGCAATAACTAGTCATCAACTAAACAGAAATGAATGACTACACATATAC